ATATATATATATATATATACATATATATATATATATATATATATATATATATATATATATATATATATATATATATATATATATATATATATATATATATATATTTTATTTTTTTTTGACAAGTGGGGTGCATAGTGTTATAAGGAGGTTTTATATGCGTTGACTGGGGCGCTTGCATCGAAAACATATCAGTAATTTCAGTTCGTAATTTAATGTAGGATCTTTCATTTACCAATTTTGGTAAGAGATCTTGTAAATAAGATGGAACAATTTATGGATTTTTCTTCCGACACTCAACTTCTCCAAAGCTAGTGAGTTACTTGTTAGTGTTATATGTACTAGTATCCCAAAGGTATACGTCGTGGGTTCGATTCCCACTGTGGTCAGGCAAACTTTTCAGTCGTTGCCCAGAGTGGATGCACACTCAGAGTAACATCACAAACATCATTACTTGAAAGTGTTCAATATGAGTCAGCAAAAATCGTTACTGGAGCTATGAAAGGTACCATTTCAATCATCTGTACATAAAAGCAGTATTTTAAATGGTTAAAGGGGAAGTGCGGGGGAACACTAATTTTTAGACATTTTTTATGAATGATTGGAAGATGTTATCGTAAAGATAATTGAGGAAGCGGATATTAATCGGAACCAACTAGGAGAGAAGCGTTTAGTTGGGCTTATAAATAAATACCAATTCTAATTTGGATTGTAGACTATTCTTAGCGCTCGTAACGATATGCGAAGATGAAAAAAGGCTACGTCCACACTAATCGGGTTTCGTAGCGTTTTCGTATTGTTTCAAGCATAATTACACCATTATTCTCTAAGTATTCCCTTGTGAACGGAGAACAATACGAAAACGCTACCAAAACGGATTAGTGTGGACGTAGCCTAGGCTCATAACAACATAAATTTGAGTTCACCGGCAAATACTAAAAATGAAAGTTTTGTAGGCCTATCGCCTGCAGATCGCTTTGAAAGCGTGAAACACTGTGTAGCGATTAATAAAATTTTAAGATTAAAATAATAATATATTCTCCTCTATCAATTAAATTTGTTATCGAGCACTCTTCTTGTACTACGGACAACGATTTATTATATATATATATATATATATATATGTATATATATATATATATATATATATATATATATATATATATATATATATATATATATATATATATATATATATATATATATATATATATATATATATATATATATATATATATATATATATATATATATATATATATATACATAGTTTATATGGTACATATGCATGCCGGTCATGATGAAAGAGTTGTGTTCGTTGTAGTTCGCAAGATGGATAACACTGGAGGGAAAAGACGTACCAAGATGGGAAAGGTGAAAGCCTTTGAAGAGATGCTTATGAAAGATGTGCCAGGTAAGGCTCAAAAAATAATGATATGCATGTGCGGCTTGACCCCCCAAATATATTTCGGGGCCAGCTGGTCTGTAACTTAAACTCTTCCAAATCTTTAGGTTTGTAGTAAATCTTATATTAACGCAGGTAACTGTAATGTTTCACAGGAGAACACACGTGACGTTTCAATTAATTGTTACACGAGAATATGCAAATGATAAGGAACACTTTTTGTCGAGATGTGGCTGGAGCAGGCTATTTATTCCTCAATTTAGTAGCTTGTCCTCTCGGTAAGCTAAGAAGTGGAATCATGTCTGCCCAGGTGTTTTTCATAATTCAATGAAAACCACCAATAGAAAATCATCTGGTCCATTTGCCTTTCTTTTTTCATGCTTTTTAATGTTTCCCGTGCATCATTATTTGAGAGTTTTGAATTTTCTTGGTGGAATTTTGCTACATATATACCATCTTTCTTATGTCAATAGAATCATTATTAAGGGAGGTAAAGGGGGAGGAGATCAGATCACGTTTAACGTGAAGAAAAACAGTAATTTACGTTTCACATGTAAAAAATTAACCATATCGCGAAAATTAGTTACGTTTTCGAAACTAATCTCATCCACTGAATGCTGCCCATATCTGGAAAAACGAAGAAAATACACGCTTGCAATAAAATTGTTACGCCAAAAGCATTGCTCTTCTAGTTGACGTTCTGACTATACTCATCTATCTTTACACATTATAGTACCGGCCTCAAATAAACTCTTGCTTCCCAGACAAAAATTACCCCCATTAGGCATTACCTAGCTCACGGCTAGGCATATATGAGTCACGTTTCACGACTGAAAAGCTTTGTGCTGCATGAAGCATACTTCATTTAATTAATAGTAATTTATCAACTTTCAAAGCATGCATGTATCGTTAATCTTAAATTCCAATATACAATTAAGTCAGTATATAATAGGCAATTTTTAATGTTTCATTATATGTGCGGCGTACCGTGAACAGAACATTTTGATAATAGCTTGTTGCTAATCAACATTTCTTGTCTTAATAAGGTGGTGCAACAAAAGCCAATGAACCCTTACATGGCATGTTGGAAGCTCAACTAGACAGTGCTCTTGCTTCAAGTTCTCCTCAGTCTGAGGTTGTACGTAATGCGGCACTTCTTCACTATTTATCTACCCTGGCATCGTCCAATGAAATGGGTGATACATTTGATTATCAGTTTGTGAAATCTCTATTGGATTCTGGAGCAGATGTGAACACTCCTGATAAAAATGGGCAAACCATTTTACACGAAGTAGCCAGGTCTTGGGATACAGATATTGTCGATTTTCTTCTTGAGCATGGTACGTTTTGAAACGATCATTCTTCGATCTATCAAATATAGTCACGAGTACGTTACTTGAGGAAGTGATTTGCTGCTTGATGTTAGACGAATTCACTTGTGACTTTATCATACATTTAGTGATTTTGTCAATTAATTCACTCGTTTACAAACCAAAGTCAAGTGGATTTGTTGTGGAATTCACTTGTGAGGGAGTCGCTAAAATTCAATAATTCGTGTTGGGAGTTGCTAAGAATTGGCGACGTTTTTAAAATATCATGCACGTTTTTAAAAACTGCATGATAATCTATTTAACTTTGATTTTAAATGAAAAATAATCAAGTTGGAAACAAGCCATCATGACGTTTTGAGTTCTCAATATTTTGCTTCATTATTTAAATTTTCAAAACCTACGAAGAACACATACACTGACGGTAATTCCAACGATATTAATCTTCTAAAATTTGAGGTAAATCGCATGTATCCTGTAGCAGACAATATGCATAATTTTGAAAACATCAGTCATTATTTAAGGCGGGGGGGGGGGGCACCGAAAGAAATATTTTTCCTGGTAAAAATTTTGCTGATCCAACTTTTACAAAATAAATAAAAAAAATTAGCCAACCTCAAGAATATAACATATATTAAATAAGAATAAATATATAAGAATAACTACCCACCCCTATAGCGAAAAGGCAAAACTGTACAAAGGATACAATTCAGTTGTCACACATATCCTTTCCTAATTCTCTGACATGAGTTTGAAAACTGCTTTTGTGCCATTTTCTGCATGCAGTCTAAAGTTTCATGTCGTCTGCATATGTACTTTCTTTGGAGACACCATTTGCCTCCTGACAAATCGGAAGATGATCAAGATAGTGAATCTGATTGATTTACATATTAGCTGAATTCATATTAGAAGACAGATTTCCGTCTGAGACGAGAAACTCACTTCAAACTCGTCTAAGACGAGAAACTCGTTCAGATATAAATTCGGTTAGCGACGGGTTTTCCGTCTTAAATTTATATCAGACGAATAAATCAAGACGAGTTTCAGCTCGCAACATTGAAAAGAGACTGGGATGGAGGGTCCCCTATTTTTTTGTTTATCCTTCCGATGGTTTTCGTTTCATATTCATATACCAGACGGAAATCAGTCACACGAGTTTCCCGTCTAAGACGGAAATCCGTCTTCTAATACATGAATTTAACCATTGTTTTGACAAATGACTATTGACATTGCTTTTTAGTTTTCAAGGAAATAACAATAAATTTTTATTACCCAACCATTGAGTTGTTTTGTTTTTCACTTACCCAACCTTTTTCTCACTCGAAGTTTTGTTTACCCAACCCTTTTCTCTTCGGTTCCACCCGTAGCCATAAGTAATGAGTGGTCCCTAAGTAAGGATTTACCTTAAAGATAAATATTTCAGGAACGTGTAATAGGAAATGATCATCATGGTTTATTTCGAAATCTCGTTAACTATGACTGAGCTAGGTGTAGACAGGTACCATTTTATTCAGCTAACTGTATATTAGTGCGGATCAGCCGAAAAAGTCAAAGTTATTATGTTTCGAATTCTACAGTATATCATTACTGTTTTTCAGGAGCAAAAATCGATATACAGGATAATTTTGGCAGAGCACCACTTCATGTTGCTGCTGCCGTTGACTACGCTGAAATGGTCGAATTCCTCATAAACAAGCAAGCAAATATCAACATCTCCACATTAAATGAGCAACAGACTCCCATACATTTCGCCGCGAAGAACGGTGCATGTCAATCTTTAAAGATGTTATTAGCCTATGGTGCTGATATTGTGTCGAAAGATTCCAAGAACAGGACTCCTTTACAGGTTAAAAAATATTCACTCCACTACGTTACTTCCAACGCTAATATAAGTATCGTTGGTGCATTGAAACATATTGTTATATAGTAATACCATACAATTAATGTTCCATTTGTACAATTTAGCTTGCTGCAGAAATGAACCGTACCAAAGCAGCTAAACTACTTTTAGAGGAAGGAGCACCGGCTGGTGTGTATGACAATACAGGAAACTCTGGTTTATCACTGTTGATTGAGAAAGCACCACAAGTGGCGCTAGATGCTTTGGGGCAACTTCACTCAATCGATCACATTAGCAGGAGAGAATATTTCTTCCTGGAGCACCTGGAAGGTATTGTCATACTGAAGGCCTGTCAATTATCCTATGACAGAGAGGGGTGGGGAGTTGGGGCAATTGGAATCAGATGTGGCACTAATCGACTTACCAGTATGCAATTTATTGCTTTCTTAGCGCTTGCCACGGTTTTTGTTGCAGAATTTTCGTGAAAAAGAACGTAATACTGTTTGAACCCCTTGAAAATTCCATCTTGGAGTTTGACATTAGACCTATTTAGGATTGGCCAAGCAATTTCAATAGTAACGTACATTTCGCCGGATAGTAAAGCACATGAGCAGGGTCAAACTTCCCAGAGGGTCTCTGTGACGTCATCAAATTTTCCCACGTCATAATTGTAAAACAAGAGAAGCGGTGTATTCCATTTTATTACGCTTATTGCATATTATCTGGGAAAGGGGCCACTTCTAAGCTGGGACCCGGGGTAAAATGCCCCATTTTGATCTCCCTCTCGGCGACCTTGCCAACCTTGTCGGAATGACGAAAGGACTCATTTGACCAATTAATTTATCGGATCACTTTCATAAATAACCATTAAACTGAAAACAATGGGATGACTTTACATCTCCTGCGTCATATCTATCACACAGCGGGATACTAAAACTACATCTTGTTTTGGCAGGTGCACGCCTAAATGAAACACCATCCCCAGCACGCACTCCCCTGGAAGTAGCCGTCGAGAATAACCGCCTTGATATAATCATGCATCCGGTTATTCGTCGTTTGATCTCTGTGAAATGGCGAGTGTTTGGAAAATTAGGAGGAATCGGGGCACTACTTCTAAATCTGCTTTATGCGACATTGTGGACTATCATGGCAGTCACAATTCCTACAACAGATGAGGATGCATACTTCCCGTTGCCTGATAAAGTATGGAGATGGATAATTGCAGTTATTATTGCATTGCTGACGATATATGAAATTGTACAACAAATTTCTGGTATGTACTGCTACACTTTTATCTAAAAATGTCAGCATTGACACGTGCCAGAACTGCGTGCGCGTGGGAATGATGCGAGCTGACAAATGAATGAAATTCATTTTCTTGCAGTATAGATAACATGATCACAGATATTTGACTAATATATTCATGTATACGATTTCAAAGATTCTTTCGTATATATATTTATACGATTTCAAATACTTCGGCTCTTTTAGACTTAGTAGGCCTTGACGAACTCAGATTATAGTAATAGATCTAAATCGCTTGTTTATCAGTACCAGTTCCCGGACACACAATTCGATCACTTTAATAATTTAAACGCTTGATTGCCTTTGGCCAATTATATCATTAGAGTACACATCGATGTAGTGGTAACTAGCCATAAAAATGATTCGTTAGCCTGTTACGTCTACCATGCGCAACAATACAATATGGCCTACACTATTTAAAAAAAAAGATGCTCTTATTAACTAAAAACAGAGTTAATTGTGAAAAATCATATCAACCGTATCAGATATGACTTTCGGTGGCTCTGACGACTGCCAGGGAGCTTCAATCTGAATCGTGTCACTCTAAATAGAAGTTTGCTAACCAGTAATTGTAAAATATTCTAAAATCCTTACAGAACTCAATTTACAAACAGGTAACCAACGCGTGATAGTGGACTTGGTCAACTTTTATTGTAGTTGCATATTGATAAGGTCGATCTTAGAATATGCATGTCAATTATTTCATGGCGCCTTGCCACAATACCTTGCAAAGGACATCGAACGTATACAAAAGCGTGCAATGAGAATAATATACCCGGATGTGATTTATAGTGATGCTCTTATCAATGCTGGTATTTCCACCCTTGAAAATAGGCGAGATATCTATCCTGCAAACTTTTTGATAATATTGCACGTATAAAACGATGACCACAAGCTTGCTAAACTCCTCCCATCTAAAGCAGCCAATAGAGATCTGCGAAAAGAAAGAGCCTTCGAAGTCCCAGTGTCAAATACAAACCGCTTTGAGAACAGTTTTATTATCCATTATGCGAAAAAACACTATAAATGACGCTCTCTCTGAAAACTGTTAGACAAATTTTAACTTTTTTAACATTAAATTTTACATAATATAATACTTAAAATATAGTTTTAATGATAAATCATTCTTAGAAATGTTTATGCCAATTCTACTAGACATTGTATGTTAATATCTCTATTTCATAATCTTGTGAACTACACAGGTAATTCAGTCTTTTGACTGCAAGATGATATGATGTTTCAATAAACTATTTATTCCCTCCATCTAGAAATTATGGTATGTTTTTTCAGGTACATTAAAGGTGCGAAAGAACAACGCAGAATGGCGTCAATGGCGTGTGGAAGACCTTAGTCGTGATCTTCAATATTGTCACCCACGTTGGCCTCAGGAGCAGACTTATCTTGAAGCTGAAATTAAATCTGTACAAAATCCTCCTATCTTGGCTAGCTCGGACTACTGGTTCTATTACGACTGGGTGGCACTCGCCTTAATCCTTGCCACTATTTCATCCCAAGCTGCATTCCTGGAGATCAAGAGTGACTCCTCCTACCGTGTGTATGCCCGTTTTGCATGTGCTCTTCTTATTGTTCTCTGGATACGTATTATGAAATCGGCGCGACCTTTTGAAGGACCAGGTGCATTTGTTGCCATATTTGGTCATATAGTGACTGACATTCTGAAATGGGCTTTGTTGTTTCTGCTCATTTTTATTCCGTACTCGGCTTCGTTTTGGATAACATTTGGTGGAGACGCAACTGGTGGTCACGTTGAAGGATATAGCAACCTTGACGAAATGTTATTTAACATGTTCTCAATGGTCGTTGTTATGGATTACGGCTTCGAGGCATTGGAGCAGTCAGACGAGCATATGGCTAGATTCCTGTGTGGAACATTCATCATTATTATGGCTATTGTCCTCGTTAATGTTCTAATTGCAATGCTTTCCGATACCTTCACGAGAGTTTACGGAAACGCTGTCGCCAACTCCATCATGCAACGAGCAAAAACTATCATTACCCTGGAGCGGTCACTAAGCGACAAGAGAAGACGAAATTATTACGACTATATTCGCAATACGTGTAATCCTGAAGTTCTGACGATCCAACCGGATATGAATAGCAGTGAGATGGACGACCGGAAGTCAGTTGAAGAAATGCGAGAGGAAGTGAAGGATATGGTTCAGCTTGTGCAAAACCGCTTTGGGCGACGGTAAGACCACTTTTGTTTGAAGTATATCTTAATATTTCAATAAATAGTAAATACAAAATAAATATATGGGTAAGAAGAAATTTCGAACTTTGACTGACCATAAGCACAACCGGCATGGCCAGAAATTCGGGACAGTTGGGTCATTATAAGTCATTATACTAAAAAATAGAGATGCAATGCGCTTTAGAAAATTTAAACCAAACTCCACATCCACAACGTCGTACAAATACGCCAAATATTGATTTGTCGTTATCCAGTCAGCCTAGATACATATGAAGGTCAGTTGTAGGCTCCTGTAAACAACGTCCTCACATCTAGATATGTAGCACGATGGTTGATTCTACTCCCAAATAAAGTTTAATGATTTAATCAACTTCAAATTGGCGCATATTAAGCTAGGATCAAACCTTCAAAAATCGAGGGAATATGCTGCCAACGACAGCTGTTTTGACACCAAAACATCCACAACTAAACTAATTTCTCACTTTGAATACGATTAGCCTTCAGAAGCAAAACGAACAATCTATCACATGTGAAAAGCTATTTGATGTGCAAACTTCCATTTGCATTCACATGTGAAATTAATTTTCACATATGAATATTAGTGTTTATACATTTCATATTCACGTGAAAAAGACATTACACTTATATGAAATTATGAATTTCACATATGAAATGTTCCAATTCCAAATATTATTGACGTTAAATAATTATGTAAAATTTTCATAAGGGATGGTTTTTCTTCAGAAAAATACGGCAACACAAATTTACGGAACTCATTGTTCGGAGGGTGAATAAACAAAATTAGTCCGTCAGTAACAATTCTTTCCTCGCCATTTACTGAAGGTGGCTGTAGAGGCAGGGAAAGCGTTTAATTGTTGTGGGGGCTTACGTATACAGTTCATTTTCCTCTGTTTTGAGGTGAGGGACCGAATTTGAAAGGTAGCTGCTCGCAACTCAATCACTGATATAGGGCCATGTTATCTTAAAAGTAGTCGCAGAGAAATTGTGAGCATGGCCCACGGTTTACTAGCTTTGTCGACATTTTTCATCTCATTTCTTTCATTTTTTACTCTACATCCCTTTATAGTATGGGGCCATTCACAAAATACGTGCGTGGGGGTAGGGGGTGTTCGATCAGGAGTCACATAGTGTCACAAGAGGGGGGTACCACAAGAGGTATCACGTGACGGAGAGGCGTATAGAGAACATTTATCCCTGTCTATAACAAAACAAGACCGTGGTTGTAAATACGTGTCCCTTACATGACAAATCAATATTTTCTATCAAAGTACTCCTGACGTCGACAGGGAATACGCGCGTACGGCACTCCCGTTTACTCGACGAACCAGCGAGAACCTGATTGGGAAACTGTTTAAGCCGAGATTTAATAAGGCATTGACATAGTGTCGATTTATAGAAAAAATTTTGAATCTGTTGCTGCGTATTAAATTTGAGTTTTGTGAGCAATTTATCTGAAACTACCATTTTGATGACATGCATTGCACCGTATACGAATTTGCGTTGCAAGTTGCAGCAAAAATAGCTCGTGCAACGCAGCCTTAATATTTGCTTGTTTGATAACTCTGTACGATTTATTTGCACATATTAATATCAATACCTCCTAGGTATGGCAAGGATAAAATGTCTGACTTGGATGCAGTGAAGCAGGATGTAGCACAACTATGGAAGAATCATGAAAGAAATGCTGCAGCGGTGAAAGAAATCAGAGCTGCTCTTGAGAGAATGCTGGGGATTGCTGGCCAGAAAAATAGTTCGGGAGCTGTATTGAGCAACCAATCAGGATTCGGTGGAAGTAGCTTCGCCTGATTGGATTTTTATAATTAATGTATATATAGCAATGGTACGATACACCATCATTTGTGGCAACAGTATTTAGCTTATCGATTAGTCGAATAAATATAAAACGTTCGACAAAGCCGAGCGCGTGTACACGTCATTGAAGTGGTACTGCACGTGCATGGCATATTAGGGTTATTCTATACTTATTCAAACAAATAATATAATCTTAATACTGGGGCAACTTATATTAACTTTTTTATAGTATTTTTGTATTTTGATCAATTGTAGTTCTTCTTATTTTTGTGAAACACAAGGTACTTTGTTAACAAAAGTGTATAGTCTATAGAATATACTTCACCGCGTAGTTTTTTCCAAAAATGTCGCAGGGCCTTTCTCAAGAATTTGTCAGTGGGGGGGGGGGGTGGAGGGCATCTGAAAAAAGGAACCATACTATACTGAGTGTGAAGAAATGACAGATGGTTTTTAGTGAAAAAAGTTTGGTGTGGTGTCATACAAGGGAACAAGACAAGTAAAATAATACTTTGAACTCTGATCATACTACAACGGTCACATATATGGCATGTGCAAGTTAACATGCATCTGAATTTGTTAGATGTGTTACATTTGTATAGCCACTGACCCTACACTACAGTATGTCAAAGCGAGGTAGCAAGCTATATTCCTCAATTTTACAGTTTGTACTGGTAGACATATAATCTAATATAAAAAAACTGAACTTAGCTGATAAAGGTGGACATTAGTAGCATTCATAAAATTCATCCTTTAGGTTTTTGTAGATCAATCAGACTTCTTATTAGGACAGGACGTCTTATTCAGTGAAGGTGACGAGACAAGGCAGTCGCGAGTCGCTGCATGTTCGTTAACGTTGTAATTAAATGCTGAATTCTCAGAAGGGAGTGACGGATTTTAAAAAGGACTTTGTGGATAATGAACCTGTTAAAAATAACCTATATACAGCCGAATTTATGATGTGGATGGGAATGTGCTGACCTTAATAATTGCTTTAATAAACTACAAAACCATTCGAAATCCGATCATAAGAATCCTCTTCGTCAACCTATTTCTGACCTTGTTGCTGATTCGACATTTTTTATTTCATTTCTGATTTCATTTCGACATTTCTGATACGATTTTGTTACTGATTACGTGATTGCATCATCATCAACCGTTCGCTGACGCGTTAACTTGTTTGTTCGCGCGCGTTCGAATTTCCCGGCGCTGAATTTTTCTCGATGGCGACATTTCGCGAAGAACTCGGATCTTTTGTTCAACAGATTGGTTTTATGTGATTTCATGATTTCTAATTTCTCTTCTATGCACAAATTACAACGCCTACCGCCAGGTGCATACGCTGCTGCTCGTTTCAAAATGGACCACTTAATACTGTATTCCCTTTTCTTGTCCTTCAAATCCCATACGTATTTGGAAAGTTCTGTGTCAGACGAGTACGCAGGCTTATTAAACGACTTTTTGTGATTTCTGTATCTAACCTTGAACTCCGTGGAAGTCATTCCAATGTATTCTTTGGTCGTTCCATCATGGGGCGTTGTTATTTCTGCCTTATAAACTACGTTGCTGGTCAAACACTTTTCATTCAGTGGACACACGTTAGATTTCCTGCAGTCACATTCTTTGGGTTCAGGGACTGTAGAGGTTTTTGTTAGGAGGCGGTGGTTGTGGCGTGTTATGTTGCTCTTTACATTGTCCATGCACGAGTAACTGACTTTGATATTGTTCCTATTGAAGATCTTGTGGAGTGGGTTTTTGGGTGGAAAATGCTTGTCGATGAGTTGAAGGAAAAAGTTTGAGCGACATTTGTTCTGACTGTTTTGCTGAATGGGGGGTTGAACCAGATGATGTTCCTACGGCGTTTTCTAGACGGTGAGCTTGTGGAATTATTACCGGTCGAATATTGCAACCTGACATCATAATTGCTATGTTTGAGCGCATTCTGGTAGGGAGGTGCAGCAGAATTAAAAGTTGATTGGTCAGCAGATAGTGAGGAGATACGTTTGTTAATGGATGTAGGGAGGGATATGATTGATTATGGAAGGTGGATGATTAGAGCAACTGTTGACGTAAAGTGGCTTGCTGTTCGGCTTTCTATAAGGTGAAAATGTCCCACTTTTCAGGTCTAGCGTTACGTCTAAGAAGTTGACAATATGGTGGTTGACGTCCGCAGTTATTTTCAACCCGAGATCATTAAATAAAGCATGTAACTCCTTTCTTGCTTTGTCACCCGCTCTGGCGCTTCTGCCCTTTAACAGAGCTAAACCGTCATCCCGATACAATATATATATATAATTAACGTTATATTATATTATATATAATTAACGTTATATTATATTATATATATATATATAATTAACGTTACAAATATCTTAAAATAACATGTTTTTTCGCTACTCTGAGTTTCACGATCTTGTCGTCAGATCGTGAAACTCAGAGTAGCGAAAAAACATGTTATTTTAAGATATTTGTAACGTTAATTACATAGCTCTGCTGTACTGTACTGTTTATCAGTAGTATTGAGCCCTCTTTTTAGTCTTTCAACGAAAAACAACCCGTTTATATATATATATATATATATATATATATACATATATATATATATATATATTCTTCATTACTTGTTAAAAATGTATTTTTCTCTTTCAAATGTAATACAACTCTATAGCTTACTATTTTACAGTAATGTATCGTAAAATACATATGTATTGTATGCCGCTCCCAGTAGTATCCGGCGTTCCCCAGGGATCAATTCTTGGACCAATCCTCTTTCTAATCTACGTAAACGATCTTACCGATAGCGTCTCCCAAGGTACTGCCGTGTCAATGTTTGCTGGAGAGAAATCCTACAATCAGATCTTAACAATATTACGAATTGGTGTCAAGACTGGAGGATGGATTTAAATAAATCCAAGTGCGGACTACTTCAATTTAATCGTTGTCTCCAACCTACTGTCAACCAGTACATGCACATTAGTTGACATCCCAGTCAAACTTTTAACCTGTGTAAAAGATCTTGGCGTAAGTATCACCAAAGATCTGAAGTGGAACCAGCACGTGCAAGACTTATCCTCAAAAGCTAATAAAATGCTGGGTTTTGTCAAGAGAACAGCGTCCGGCATTCACGATAAAAGAGTTCGAAAGATACTGTACTTGACTATCGTTCGAAGCCAGCTAGCTTACAGTAGTCAGTATATCAAACATATCTGTAATGAGATAAGAACCGACTTTATAGGCCATACATTATGATCATGGCATTTTGAACTTATATACCAATCAAGGAACATGCACCCTTGCTCGTCCATGAACTTAAATGCATGCATGGCCAACTTTCGAGAAAAGTAATTCTACCGGTATTAAAATGTTTGCTTTGTAAAGATCCACGCAAAGCACATTATTGTTGTAGTATTAATAGACAGGAGGAAAGCAATCTGCGATGTTTGTCAAATATAAACACCTTCCTCAAAAGAATTGCGGAAAATATAATAGAGCTATAGGTTGCAGTTAATATAAAGGCGAATTTATTTAATCTTGGTGTGTCAAAACAATCTCCTCTTACGATGCCAGTTAATTCTAGCATTTTCTTAGAAAAGCTGCATTGGGACAATCTGTCATAGGAAAAAGCACAAATGTATATTGATGCACAAAACAATCAATAAGCTAACGGAGAGTATTTGGAAAACTTGTTTTCATTTCGCAGCACAAACGATAACTTAAGAAATGCTGAAATAAAGCTGAATTTACCGAAATCACGTACGGACTATTTGAAGCGTAGTTTTTGCTACAGTGGGGCACGGTTATGGAATATGCTCCCCCACTCCGCACGTACAGCTAATTCATTAAGGCATTTCAAAAGTAAAATCAATCGATTTTTGTCGCCACCATAATGGGATTCCCACACGTACGGCAATCTTGGAAGTCATTGTGTTTTTTATATATAATATTTAGTGTTAAAAGTAGTCTAATAGATGCATGTAAGTTGTTTTGCATGTAAATAGTTCCTATACACTGAAGATTTTACCGTGTTTAAATAAATGTTCGACGTTCAAAAATTACAATTAATATCAACGCCCTATAATTTACAGTATATTTTTTATAGGGTCTAGTTATCATAGACGACTATGATCCAGGGCAATGTAATCAAACCAACCACGGTACACAGATGTTGGTCTTAGATCGAGAAAACAAGGAACAAATTTTGATTTGCATCAAGAATGATGGCGTATACCAATGGACAACCCCAGGAGGTTTGTATTATGAAAACATATGCATATATATGTAAATACAAATACACACCCAAACCACAAAAGATGTCTATATACATACGTTAATTTAAAGTAAACCAATATCTATACAAAAATAATTTACAGTGCTCTATTGCAGAGTTGCAAAAAAGTGTGAATATACCACCTGTGAGAGCGGTTTACCATATGCATGAGGTCAGTAAAGAATTTTTAACGTAGAGCACACCACTCATAACACCATAAGATAAATAAATGATGTTGCATTGCTGGCAATACATCTGCTAGAAGTCGCCAGCCTGTACTGTTTGTCCGCGGTGAGTATATATTATGCAAACAACCAGCTCATCAATGATACTAGTCAGTGGGAAATAAGAATGAGAAGTCGTAACTGCATGTAAATAGCAATGCAAGCAACCTATCATATCAACCTTTGCAAATCTTGCTTGCAAACATAAATATATTTCTTGATAATTCAGTAAGTTTGTAAGCTAGATTTACGACCAGTAACGATTATTCTCAATCTCAAGCTTTATTATACTCACGATGCACAGAAAGCGGAAAATCTCATACGAAAGTGAATACGAAAGCACGGCAATATATGTAGACCATTGTAAGTCATTTGAATTTTTTTCAATGCCGTCTCTAAAAACTGATTTATTTCTTAACTAAGAAAAAACTACACGATTAATAGTATACGGCAACAAAAACGATAATAAAGGGTTATTAACCGAGAGCGAGGTCTGTACGGGAAAGTATTTGCCTGAGGTTTTCGTACAGACCGAACAACGAAAGAACGAGGTCTGTGCGGATAAACCGAACACGGATACGGAAAAATAACGGATACGGGAAAAGACGGAAACCGGATACGGGAAAATACGGACCACGGTCCTGATACGCATTTTTACGGACCACACGTCGACCAATCAGAATCCAGGATTCTGCAAAGCCATATAATAATGAAAGAAATAATGTCCCAAAATTTTTTATTTTTACCTTCTCTCCCCCAGGCAACCCTTCCCCGCGGCCCGCTTACCGTCGCTGAGGTTTCTGAGAAAAATTAATTACGAATATATAAATGTTTTGGCAAAATATCATGCACTTATACCCCATCCCCGGCAAAATATCATGCACTTATACCCCACCCCCGCATTAAAATAGGGCTAGCGTCGCCCCTGTTGATTAGGCTGTTTGTTTACATTGTGATTTTACTCTAACAGTTCCAATACAAACCCGGCAGACGGTCTTTCCCGCCTGATCATCCGGCACGCAAGTGGTGTTTCCCCCATGAAGCTCGATCGCAAAAGGGCGCGAAAAATTAATGTCTTACCAAACGTCTGCAGAATTAAAAAATGGGGTTGCTACAAGCGTGTATTTCTAGTGCAAATTAAAACTTCTTACCGTGTAACTTTGCTTTCCAGTTATCCAGTATTACTCAACTTTGCATTGCGTCCATGCAATTACATAAATATATAGCCTAGTCTTATATACATGCCCTAATGCATGTCTCCTAAAATTCCCCAAATTTCTATTGCTGATTGAATCAATTCTAACAGAGTCATGTTCTGAACCAAAAGAAATTCATATATCAGCATTTTGCCCTATAAGGATGCATGGTCTTAGTTACCGATCTGTGTCAGCTGAGCATAACCTATTATATATTAATATTTGAGCCAAATATGGTGACAATTGCTTTAGGGATTTGTCATAAAGTAACTGCTAGGGTGGGCTGGAGGTAAATCACAAATTTTGCCAATAAGTTCGGTGACCCATCTTAGGATGTAGATAAAAATTTCAAAGGGGTTAACGTCCCCCCTCAATACCCCCTTCGCTACGACCCTGCGAAATTAGTAAGGTTTTTGCATATTTTGGTATACTATATAGACACATGTATAATTAAGACATAATGCGGTAACTGACAAATTTGTATTAAAATTACAGGAGATGACTCAGTTGGTGAACTTTTTAGCCCTGGTTTCGATTGTTCAAAAATATTGGACAGTAATCCTGAGGCAAAGGATGGAATGTATTGGATACACCTGGGAGGCTATTACCCTAAACAAGTGAGAAAAATATTTAAATTCTTAGAACTGCTGTTTTCCATGTAAAGCTATTTTGAAGTTAGTATTGATGGAGACACTTTGTATATGTCGTAAGCGAAATACGAGAGAAATACAATATACATCACATAGTTTTAATTGGTCTCTTCGTGTATCAATTAATTCCATGAAAATCTTTCAGGTTGAATAACGTATACAAATATAAAAGATCAAGTTTTTATATTCGGATCAATTTTGACGGCGCAAGCGAATTACTGATGAAATTGCTCATACTTCCTATAGTTCATATTTCCTAATTTCCACACAAATCTTTGAATCAGAAAGACTGATATTTATATATATTAAATTTTATTATACATACATTTATTATATGGATATGAGTAAAATACCATAAAATACGCCACTGATATTTTCCGTATTTCACTATAGTGAAATATGAAATCATATCTTACGCGGGAACGTCTCGCGCGGGACCCACGCTAATTCCCGCCATTTTGCTGTTTCTGTTTTGAATATACAATATGACAACTTCTCGACATTTTGTTGATGTTTTCGACGCTGATTTGGCAAGGTTTTCTGAAGAAAATGAAAACACAAAAAGGAAGACTAATTAGTCCTATTTGGCGATCTTCAGCGACTATTTAGCCTCGATTAGCAAGCGGAGAGACATAAACATTGTTGCCGTACGGTGAGCTACAAAACAAAACAAAACAAAAAACAAAACTTGAATAAACTAATAAAGTCATACGTTTTGTTGTTTTTGCTTCAACTTTTATCCATATAATAAAAAGAACATTTCACGGTGCCTTTGGAAATATGACTTTTATTTTCTCGTGTTGAAAACAATATTTTACTCACTCGCTGCGCTCGTTCGTAAAATATTGTTTTCACCACTCGAAAATAAAAGTCATATTTCCGTGCCACCGTGAAATATCCTCTATATATATATATATATATATATATCTATCTATATATATATCTATATATATATCTATATATATATATATATATATATATATATATATATATATATATATATATATATATATATATATATATGTGACAAATGCCAGTACTCTGCTCAGCCGACAAGACTTCATATGTGACAAACAGAACGGCTACGTTTGAAGAAGTTTATTAAAAAAAGGTATATT